TTTTAAATGAATCTCACTTATTGAGATTAATAATTACAGGTTTCATTTGCTTTGAATTGCATTTTCCAATAGCTTTCAATGATAAGTTCAACAGGTCAGCGAAACAAAAAGATTTTTAAAAAAGTAAGTTCACTTACTCTTTAAATACAGCAATTATCTTTTATATTAAGTTCAAGAAATGGTAAGGTTGAAGTAAAAAATTCTAGCATAACTTTGACACCAAATTCCTTAAGAACAGGATATTTATTTTTTTTTATTTATTTTTATTTATTTATTTATTTATTTATTTATTTATTTATTTATTTATTTATTTATCTATTATTATTTGGTCTTTTTGAGACAGGGTCTCAACCTTTAGCCCCATCTGGCCTAGAACTATGTACACCAGGCTGGTTTTGAACTCACAGAGATTTGCCTGCCTCTGCCTCACACGTGCCGAGATTAAAGGCATGGATCACCACACTTGGCTTCAGGATATTTAAAATACAAATTTATTCATATAAATTTTCTATGTGAAAAATCTTCAAAAATTCCATTGCTGTCCAAATGTGCTTCCTATCTATTACCACAGATGGAATACTGGCAAGTAATTTATCAATGTTTATTTAAAAAAATTCTTATTGGGGCTGGGGGTATAGCTCAGTGGCAAGCATACACTTTAGAATGCCCAAGGCCCTGGGTTCAATTCCCAGTACCACAAAACAAATACATCTTGTTATTCAGATTATCAAGCAACTTAAGAAAAATAAAAGTCTGATTTATTTCAGACTACTGTAAGGAAAATATAATCCTGAAGATTACAAAAGAGATTCTGTGCCTTCTCAGACATCAGACCATAATCATATTAACTTTAGTAGTGTTTCAATTAAGGGAATTTTAAATGAAATTAAACTTCTGAAAATTTAACAGATATAATGTTTCAATAAAGGCAGAACTAAAGAAAGAAACCCTACAGTTTATAGAAGAATATTCTCGGTTCTTGGAGTTGGCAAAGTGAATTGAACTATCAAAATGAACTTACAAAAGTGATAGTTTATGATAATCTCTATGTCAAGTCCCCCAAAATGGTATAAAATTTTTGTTTTTTAAATAGTGAGAATTAGGCTTTGGTCTATTTTGGAATGAGCATTTCTGATGATAATATGTAACCAGTTCTATTTTTTGGGGGTCTTTTTGAGACAGGGTCTCCCTGTTGCCCCAGCTGTCCTGAAACTCACTATGAAGACGAGGCTGGCCTTGAACTCTGAGATCTGCCTGCCTCTGCCTCCTGAGTGCTGGGATTAAAGGCATTCGCCACCATGCCTGGCCATTTTAAGTTGCTTTAAAAGTGAAACATTCTATTTTAGTATTAGGAAGTTAGAAAATTGTTGATCACCCCATCATATATCACAATCCTGGGATAAAGGTTTTTGAATGGCTGTAGCCTCAGCGCCTAAATCCACTTTCTTATTCTTTCCTTCTGGATTTACAACATAGCTCTAAATTTAGCTTTCAATCTGTTGATATTTGGGGGGTATTCAGTGTGTGGTATATGGCATAGAATTCATTAGAGGGTAAAATTCTCATTTAGTGTAAAAATTCATACTGTGAAAACTCAAAAAATATATTTCTAAATTGATATTTACAGGTAAGGTGAGAAAGAGAAATGGAGAAATGAAATGGAACATTGTTAACTATGGTCCATAAGATATATTCTGCCATTTAACTGGTTCAGGTCAGACTGCTATGGATTACTAGTAAACTCTGCTCATATGCCTTTCCTGGGCTAGAAAGGAAGGGGAAAAAAAATCCATTTCTCTATTTTTCTTCATTGCCCAGACAACAAATATTTTAATTTTTGAAGTGTGAATTCTAAGCATCCCAAATATGGATAACTATCTAAAACTTAATTCTTGTAAAGAAGTTACATTTGTTTCCTTATCCTTAAACTTTAAGTTAAAATAAAAGCCAGTAGGGTTGTAATGCATTTTAGCAGTGCATACAAAGAAATCCAAGTGCAAAATTAAACATAAAAGATTCATTAACCTTTATGGTTCTTAATACATCTAACCTCCAAACTGTAAACTCCTGGTTACTTTTTAAGTAAGCAGGTTAAAATGTCTAATACATGTCAGATTATAGCTTCTACCAGTTAAAAATTCTATTGATTGCAAAGCTCTGTTAGTGACCATATTAGGATTTTTATAATAACACTAGAAATTATGTGATGGGGGAGGGACTTTCCTTCTTGTACAGTTAAAGAGGGAAAATTTTTATTTAAGAGGAGTTATTTGAGGAAAAAGAATAGTCAAGGTTTTGCTAAAAATCTGAAAGCAGAAATCAAAATTTAAGAACAGGGTTATACTATTAAAAAGTTTCTAAGCTTTTTTTTTTTTTTTTTGAGGAAGAGTATTAACTATTCGAAGAAATTATGTAATTGTTAATTTATTTCTTTCCCCCATGTATGTCTTCACATCAACAGAGACATCAAATTATATGATTTTTTTTGGTCATTAAGGTATAAAGAAAAATAGCATAACCATATAGTTCTGCTGTGTGTTTTAGAATCTTATCCTTATGTGTCTTTTGGAATGATGGCCTTATTTTTTCATGTAGTGAAAGTCAAGTTTGGTTAAAAGCTCTTCTATTTAGACACAAGCGTTAAAAGAGATTTTATTTCTGATGAAATTGCTGAAAATAACAAATACTTCTGTAACCTGATTTCAGAATGTTTTAAGGCATTTTTCATTAGGAAAATTTCACAACTCTACTTATGTTAATCAACTTCACCATCTTTCTCATATATTTGTAAAAAACGATGTTCTGCTTAACTTTTAGATCTTAAAAAAGAGATTCCTAGATAGGCCTGAATTTGTAGTTGCTCAAACTGTAGTTGTGCTGCATCAGTTGGGAAGCAGAGAAAATCAACTGGAAATCTCTCAAATGTTAACAGTTCCAAACTGGATTTTTAAAGAAATTTAATCCCAAAGCATAGTTTATTTGGGGTAAGAAATGGACCATTTTCAGTTAGAAGAAATTAATGTATCATGATGAACTATAGACTGCTCCATAGTTTTAAGCAGACTGAACGAATGAATTTATAGTAGCAATTCAAATCCAGTTTGTCCTTTGGCCACTGCTTTGATTGATACCACATGCACATGTGAGGGCTACTCTGAGTCAATAGATGGCAGTCCATCGCCTAGCAAAACAGCTGAAGATGACTAAAATCAGCACGCAGTTTGCTTTCACTCAGTTTTGAATACTGCTTCGTTATATACATTCAAATATTGTCCATATACTGCTAAGACAATTTAAATAATTTTAAAATTATGACATTTTAGCTGAACTGGTACTTAACACATTTATAAGAATACATTTATTCTTGCACAGTAAATTCATTATTAACTAAAACTTGGTAACTATGAGTTATGTTTACTTGAATATTTTTCTGAAAGAAAATTACCTAGGGTTCCAGATATGAGAAGTTTTCAAATTGAATTTGTTATACCTACAAAAAGAATGTATTGTATTCTACCAATGGCAAATTTGTTTTGTTTCATTTATTTAATTGCTAAGCTTTTGAAAAGCCAAAATATTAAACAAACCTTTGGGTATTTCTGTTGTTACATCTGAAGCTAATTTTTATCCTTCAATCATAGTTATATAAAATAGTGAAACAAAATAAGATTCTCCACACAGTACTTCCCATACCTCAAGTTTTCAAAATTGAAATTTTTTTTAAATTAGAGCAAAAGCTAAAAGAAAATCAATGTCAAATCTGTGAGTATTTACTTATTACAAATAATTATGACTATTGCTACACCATTACAAAGAGTGGCTCTGTAATCTGGAAAAGTACAAGATATGATTATATTTAATCACATTTAGGCTATATGGGCTTCACAATTACTGTTACCAAAAAACTGTTACAACACAAACAAATCCATTCATATGGTTTGTATCTGTTGCACATATTTATTTAATATGTTAAACACTGACGCTTTAAACAAACTCCAGAGGATAGCTGAAGAATTATAGCTTCCCACTGAAAATCTTTAGTAAATGGTAACAAAATGTGAAAACAAACCACCTGATATTGTTCCTGGCTTCCCGGACCTGTGACAGGACGGGAGATGAGGATACCTGTTGGTTTACTTTTTAATTCTATAGGGAAAGCAGTGAGACATCTTTTTCTCCTTTTATGACCCATCTTTCTATAAATAAAAACTTAAAAATATTAAAAAAATTTAACAACTATTAATTATATTGTTATATAATTGTACTTTATCTCAGTACAACTTATTTAACACATTAAAAATGACTAGTAAGGCCAACAGTGAATTACTGAAATTATTTAAGCTGCATAAAACAGTAAACTGACTTCATTTTATTGAGCACTAGCCAACTGGGTTGCAGAGTAATGGTATTTTCTGCTTCTACTAAGACTAAAATAAAACTAAAAAGAAATTGAAATTGAATAATCTGGATATCAAACATAATTATATATTTCAAACATGTCCTGGTAGGTTTAAGGACAAGACAGTTGAGCTGTGCTATGTGAAAGATACACTAGGCCTTTTATAGCTTCATTTAGGAATGTGTAATATTTCAGTAAAAGAAGAAAAAATAGGAATGGGCGATACTGTGGGCTAAATGCTTATGGACTGTGGTAACAGCATTTTAAAGAGACTGAGGGATTATAGGTTTTTAGAGGCTTCTAGCATACTTTTCCCCTTTAATTTAATGACTAATCTAGGACTGAGAGATAGCATGATTTAATCATTAAATGACCTGAGTAATAAAATGAATTGAAATCTTTTAAGAATAGGAAAATAAAGGAGGGGGTAGTGGGCAGGAGAGAACGGGAAAAGGTATATTATTTCCTTTTCAGTACAAAAACTCTCCAGATGTTTATTATCTTGCAGCAGAAGATGCTTGTCTATATTTTATGGTCAGCAGTTCAGAGAAGGGTAAATAGGCTAGGTCTTGGGGAAAATAAAAAAGGTGTTTCTACTCAC